AAAACATGTTGAAAGATAAATCTAATGAGTCACAGAACGAAATATTAGGCATGTAATGGGTAGCGACAATGCCAACGAGTTCCCATGAAATGATTCATCTACCGTCTATTCAGAGCCAGAGGGGCATTACCGCGTAGACTTATACACAGTGTTAACGCCCTTCTGTCTCTTAAAGTAGTCACCCGAAGAAAAATTTACGACGTCTGAAAATTATGGACAAATTATATATGGATTGAAAGGTTTTCTCTTGAAAAACACGAATAATTTCCTGAAAAATCATATGGATATCATGGAAAGGCGTAAGATTCAATTTTGTGGCTGGCTGTGTCTCGCATGTGACGTCACGAATCTTGACGCTCTACGGAGGGACCGCTGAAGGCAGAAAATTCGGATCTAAAAACTAATATTTTGGAGAGATAATTACTGCGGGCCTCAAAAATATTTTGAAGAGGGAAGTTGTTATATTTGATCAGTAAGGCTTCCCCTTCGCAATAATATGGATTTTGCATCAATTCAAAACACGTTTGATTCCTCGGCTGACTACTTTAACATTCGAGGTTTGAGTTTAGAGTTCTACGAATACAACCTGCAGTAGAAAAAAAAAAATCTTTTTAATGTACTGCATTCACTTTGATCGTTTTACTCAATTTACTTTCTAAATGTCAACAGATCCCTGAAATAACAGCACGCATTTAAATAAATATATACTACTGTAATATGATATGGCATGATATAGTAGGACGCTTGCTTGTAAAGATGAAAAATATATATAATTTGGAGCTTTCTCAGTCTTTTGTTTGCCAGTTTTGGAGGAGTAGCAAAGCAGAAATTTCACCTGAAAGCCCCGCTCTTCAAATGCACACATAATTTGGAATGTGAATGTGAAGAGAAATATCCGACAGCTTGGGGCAAACATTCATGCCGAATTTGTGCGTATCCAATATACCCAAATATGTGTATAGTGCGTGTAATTTTCTGATTAAATTTCTTTTCATTTTCATCATAATTACGTGCTACTTCGTCAACCTTTCCCAATAGACCGATTTACTAACAAATTCATATTTTGTGCTTACTTTTCAAACAAATGTTATTTGAAAACCTGAAAGCTTGCCCGACATAGCAACATATAATGCAAGTAGAATGGATTCCAAGTATCAGTCATTAATAACATGTTAATGGAATACCTCGGGGGGAGGGGGGGGGGGTGTTTCACGAAGATCCTAAGTTCAACGTAACTCTAAGCTGGACTTAAACATTTTGGAGAGCCATTTGTAGCCTTTAAACAAAATATATTCAAAAACATACGTTTAAGTTCTTTTTAATTTTGTGTATTAATTCCACATCAAGAAAATGAATTCTCCTTGATAATAGAAAATATGAATGATTTGAATCAACATTTTTTGCCTTTTGAAATGACTTTTACAAAATATTTCAAAAGATGCTTACGGATTCCCATAATTATTAAGTCCAACTTAGAGATAAGTTCAACTTAGGATCTTTGTGAAGCACCCCCCCCCCCTGTACTAAAGTTTATCTTTATGACAGTAGTCACTGGACAGCAATGAACATAGGGTAAACAGTCATTGAAAAGAACCAAAAAACGAATGTTGTGTCAATTTATTAAAATAAATATGAATGTCATTCTAGTTCAATTTTGCACTAATGAAATTGTCTGGATTGTCACTTTAACATCAACCCGTCTGTTGAGAGGCAAAACGCTTTTAACTGATGACAGTTAAGGACTTCCTGGCTCTCAACATTAACTATGAAAGATCAGTTTGACTCAAAATCATGAAAACAAAACTATATAATAATGAGTCAACATGACGAAACAATACCAGACTGACGAAAGACCGAACAAAAACATACATCACCCCGAATCATCGAAGTGCGTTAGGTATGAAATTGGTCCGGGCACTCTTTCATGAAACTTGTTATCAATAACAAGTTACGATGATTGTTATAAGCTACTGAAGTGGTGGCATTTGATTGGCTGATATCAGATTTGGCATAGAAAGTTAGCAATTGATATTGGTTACAAGTTTTATGAAACAGGGCCTTGAGGTCTTTATGGCGGTGTGACTATGGGTTCAGTGAAGTGTTTTAGATATTAGAAACTGGTACAGAGGTACAACGCAACTTGTAACACATGGCAAACTCTCATCAACTGAGGGAGCTACGGAAACTAGTACAAACTTATTCTAACTGGAAGATGGCGGGTCGCAGATACAACATATAAACTTGGGTTCTAATAATGATAGAAATAAAACGTACGGTCAATGCTTTACTAAGGTAGAATATTAAACACGAGTGTAAGATATATATCAAAGAATAGTACAGACCGTTTCATCTCTGAAACTCGCATTAACAGTAAACACAACAAAGAGGGAAGGTTCTTAACTAAAGCTATGGTCACAAATCAGAGCAGCGACCGACCGATCAGTAGCCTGCTCGGTCGCTGCTGGAATTAGGCATCGCCCAGCGATTAGGTCGGTGCCCGGGCGGCGACCGCCCACGCACCGAGCGTATTTTGGGCGGCGAGTGAAAAGTGAGCAGGCTCCGCCCAAATTTTAACTCCGCGCTAAAACTTCAGCGGCGACCGAGCGATGTCCTAAAAACGAGCGTTGCCTGGGCGGCCGCCGCTCGGTGGCCGAGCAGGCTACTTTTGGGTAATGTGACCATAGCATAATGAAACATCCTACCTCGCATTCTCTACCATTCAACATGAATGAAAGCACACATGTTTACGCCGTGTAGGTACACATCAATGATCTTGAAATTCTCTTTAGAATTCCTTCAAAAAATCAACCCTAGAACACTTTCCTTGTTTGTGCGAGATATTTCTTCACCTAACGCGGTACCACTTTTCGGCAAATTGAGCAATAGGTTGATAAATACAATTATATTAGTACCAAGGCTTTTGCCGTGCCGCCATCGAAAGGCGCTCAAGCATTCAATGGATTTCTTTCTACCAGGGTATCCATTTTCTCCACCTGGGTGGGGAGTGGCAAATGTAGAATAATGTCTTGCCAAAAGAGATTAGAGTCGCGGCCTGCGGGACTCGAACCGCGAATTATCCACAGTCCGGTGACGTATCTACTAGACCACGACACCGCTGTGATTTTATTATGCTTGTACACCTACATTACCCTGTATCAAGATTATGGGACATATCCTTTAATAACTTAAAACCTGAACTAGCCATTCACGTTTCATTGACCGAGTTGCTTCCTTTCCTGAATAGAACATTACAAATAAACATCTTCTCGAGGGCTGAACGCACTGGATGCAAAACCATAGAGTACCGAAGCTATGACGTCATAAAAATCTATTTTTAGAATTTCTCAATTTTGTCTTCGTTTTCCGAATCCTACAGGAAATATATTTATTCAGATGGTCATATCTCAGCAAATACTTAACATATTCAATTGGTTTTAGACAATTGGACATTATCTTTGATGTTCTTTCGGAAAATGAAGAAAACATGGAGAAATTCTAAAAATAGATTTTTGATGACGTCACAATTCACCACTCTAATGCTTCTGATGCGTCGAGCAACTACAAGAACGGATCCCTTCTTTTGCCCGGTGGGCCCCGTTTTATAATCTTTTAAAATTAATAACAAATGGTAAATTTCGATGACAAATTTTGCTCTCAGCCAAGCAGGTACCACGATTTAAAGGAAACCAAAACCTTCACACTAAGTTACTTTTATTGTAAAGTTTAAAAGATTTGAATAAAATCAGTGAAAATTTGAACAAAATCGGGCAAGGAATAAGGAAGTAAGAGCTTTTTGAAATGACTAGTCACTAGAGGGCGGTTTTCAATTTGATGACATCATCTGTGAAGAACTCTCCATGCCTTTTGTACATGAAATTTCACAATTTTTTTGTTTTCTTCGTATTTATTTGTGTTCTTGATCCGACTTCATAACATGTGAAGGAGAAGATCATTTTGCATTCTATATCTTGCTTTCGAGGGAGTACATTATCTCAATCACAAGAAAGAAGGAAAAACATGAAATTTGATGTACAAAAGGCATGGAGAGTTGTCCATAAATGATGTCATCAAATTGAATACCGCCCTCTAGTGACTAGTCATTTCAAAAAGCTCTTACTTCCTTATTCCTTGCCCGATTTTGTTCAATTTTTCACTGATATTTTTCAAATATCTTAAACTTTACAATAAAAGTAACTTAGTATGAAGGTTTGGGTTTCCTTTAAGTAGCTCATACCAGTTACCGTTACTCGTTATTGATATCAAGTTTTAAGAAACAGGGCCCACGTGTTATTTCACTTCCGCCAACAGAACGGTTTACTAACATATTCAAATTTCAAGTATATTTTTTAAAAATAAAGGTTGTTCTCGACAACCTGAAAGCGTGCACAAGGCTAGAGATCTGCAGACGAACTATTCCATTAACCCGATATTCATCAATGCACTACAGAACTTGGAATCCACCCAGCATACATTACCTGTTGCTATATCGGACAAGCCTCGTGAAAGCTTTCAAGTTGTCACGAACAACCTTTGTTTAAAATGACATGTTTGCATCTAATTTGATTATGTTAGTAAACTTGTCTAATGGCAGTAGTGGGATACCACCGAGTGCATGGGGCTCAAGGCAAACGTAATCATCTCGTCAGTTAACGCAACGCATAGAACATCCAACGCGTTACGCCCTTTACACTTCTGAAGATACTTCTAAATACTTAAATTCACACACTTGAAAATGATAAATACTTAAGCAGGGCTCCCACTTAGCCGAGTTGGAACCCTCGGGTTGTGGCGAGCTGGCGCGATCTTATGGCAAGCCGTTTTATTATTAATTGCTATCTAGAAATCAATTCTTGATATCAAGAAATAATTTTACGTTGTAAAGCAATAGTAATTTTTGATATCAAGAATTCGATTTCGTGATATCAGGAATTCGATATCGTGATATCAAGAATTGAATTCTTGATATCAAGAATTATGTTTTAATGATAAAAAAGGCTTGCCATAAGATCGCGCCAGCTTGCCACAACTCGAGGCTCCAACTCAGCTAAAGTGAGAGCCCTGCTTTAAAGAACCGACTATTGTCCATGCCTATAATACGGCTTCTGAGTGTAAGGCGGCCGATGCTGCCAATGATCCGTTCGTGACCCATTTTTCGTGCCGCTGCTTGAAACATTTCCGCACCTCCTTTACGATTGCGCGCCGATATGACGTGCACATGAATAAATATATGAAAGCATTAATCCAACTGTTACATAATGCAGGGAAAGATACAAGAGTCCCCCATGCGGGTGGAATACGCGCGTTGAATATTACCGCTGCCACCATCGTACACGTGAGCGGAAGCCACGTGAGGAAGAAAGCCGAAGTCAGCACGAGGATGGTCCGAACGCCCTTGAGGCGGTCCGTCGTGTACCGAACAGCGGTCGGGGACATGTCGGCAAGTTCGCGAGTCTTTTGGATTGTAATCATCATAAGGCGAATGTTTACGAATAGTAGGATGCTGGCGGGGATGACAAAAGATACGACGATGATTATGATGAGGGGACGGACTGGATCGGTACTGTCTAAGTAAAGTAACGCGCACAGTCTGATGTTTTCCTCGGGGCTTGGAAGATCTCTCGCTACCAGTATCACCAGTGACGCCAGCGCACCAACCAATAACACGCAGGCAAGCACGATGCGCGCCCTCTGCGGCGTCATAATGGTCGGGTAACGGAGAGGCTTCATTATTGTCAAATACCGGTCAACACTGACTAAACACAGACACAGAAGTGCCTGGCAGGATACCATGGTGTACACGATGGCTACTATGTCACACGTCGCGTGCGTATGCGGCCAGTTTCCATAGATGGACAGGACCATTTCTGTCGGGCAACAGATCAAACCTGACAATAGGTCCACCACGGCCAGAGCACACAGAAAGAACCGCGTGTTGTCACTAAAGCAATCCAATGGTTTCCTCATGATGTACAAGTTTAGTGTATTGCAGCATATGATTAGAAGAAACGCCATCGTGTACAATGCGAGTGCGATGATCGTTATGTGGTACTCCACGTAACTTGTAACGTCATCGCTTATGGTTGAGTTTGGCAGTTCCGTCAACGGCCACAGAGTCCCATAAAGCTCCAGGTCACTGGAATTCCATGTTTCAAGGGCCACCGAATTTGTAGCCATGGTGCTTCTGGTGATGCTGGTGGTAATGCGAATCCTCAATGAACTGTAATAAGAAAGAACAAGGAAAAATAATAATTTTAAACTCTTGATAACAAATGGAAAGAGAAAATTTGTTTTGGTCATTTTTTATATTCTACTAAATTCAGTTTAATAAACCCGACACTGGATCTTAAATCACGTTCAAGAATGCAAATTAACTTCAGACTTTTGGACCCCTCTGAAAACCAGCGATAGCATGTTGTTAATTGTTATTGCTGAGCAGGGGAGTGTTTCACAAAGACTAACATCGAATTTAAGTTGAAATTAACTATGACAGGCCATTTATGCCACTGGTCGCTCTCACCATTGGTCCCTCAATTATAATCTTTAGATAATTTCAAAAAATGTAAATTGTGTAGATTTGTGACCCTGTTTACGTCCCTTGTGAAACCAATGCAAGGAATGGTTAGAGGAACTAGTGGCATGAACAGCCTGCCATAGTTAAGTCCAACCTAAAGTCGATCTTAGTCTTTGTGAAACACACCCCATGGCTATCAATCCGTACGTATTATTGTGTATATATTTTGCTTCTGTATCTTTTATATACGGAAATTAAACACTACTACTACTACTACTACTACTACTAGATTTTTGTGTACACCAGATTAACCAACACGTGAACGCAGCGTCATACATTTAGGTCTTACATTGCTCATCAGAAACGAAATTAAAATCCTAATTAATTTGTCAAATGTTCTACAGAATATTCTATTCCATGTTTCATCGCGTTGATATGACTTATTAATTGCTGGCTCGCTTCTTCGTCATCAATTTTAAACCATTTGTATTCATTTCCCTAATCCCTTAAGATCGGTACACATTACTACCCTGTAAGAGTCAGTACCATGAAGCTGCATACCCTTTCCCTCTTTAAATCCACTCCTAGTAATGGAATTAGTTGGCTCAGAGATCAGTCGGGATACTTCTCACATTTTACCTCACCGTGGACGAGGGCAGGAGATTGATAGCAACCATCATATTAAGTATTACAAAAAAGGGAAAAGAGCATCTCCGTCATCCATTCAACTTTTACCCTCTTCCACTTTTCGGTATCAAACCGATGAATCCTGAAACCCCAATTCATGTCCTAAATTTAGTGAGTGACTTTTCTGAAAACAGAATTCAGATCTGATCGTCATCCGACTTGCAAAGACACGCGCTCCTGTCATCGAGACAATAATACAAATGACGAGAGTGGTTATAAACACAACTGCGAGTCAATCAGGGATTCAGGGGCCGTATCGGTGATGGGCGAAATATGACGGTTAATTATCCGCCTCAAGGTGTGTGCGTGTTTGTAGACAATCGTCCCATTATCGATTCGCCCATTAGCATTTCGATACGAGGGTAATATCTGTCTGGAGTGATTAGCTTTTTGCCGGGGAATATAATCAGCGTTAGATCAGCCGTGATCCACGTGGATAAAGCGATCGCTGGGAAGAAAATGCCCCTCATTTCCCATTTTTTTCTGACACTGCATGAGCCCCCTCGTATGAAGCTTACGTCGAAGCCCAATGGTTACTTCATCTCTGACATCACTATGTACTATAAACTATGTCATTTCTTTTGAAATGAAGTGCTATCATTGATCAATATTTGATAATTATTGCTGAGACTTTACGTTACGCACCGAACCACCATTGTGCTAAGTAAACAAGTTGAGAAGCGCTATGCGAGCGGTTAGACACTTGGCTGGAAATGAGAAGGTCAAGGGTCCGAGCCCATGCGGATCAATCGTGCTCTTACGGAAGATAGTAATCTTCTGCCATTTTACACCTTTAAAAAGAGTGTGCCCTCCCGAGTCATTCATTAGAATTTTTTTTTTACATTTTTAGTCATTTTGTGTGTTGAAACAAATGGAAAGTTGTCCGACACTACGTCACAGTGACGTTACCGATTCAGTAAATTTAAAGTGCCTGTTGGTATAGTGATTATGAAATTCAAAGATTCACAACTCTCTTAATTTGTTTTTCGAATTCAGTCAAACTTTCCCCACTCTGCTTCTCTGATTGTTCTGCCTTCTTTGAGAGTAGTTGTCGTTGGTTAACAGGTTCTGGAAGGAATTATTTCAATGCCAAGAGCACCAAAATCGCTGGCATACAATGTAGCTCGAACCGGGGTAATATTTGAGCACCTTGAGCACCTTGCGTGGTGGATATAATGGCTAAGAAATATCCAATATCGTTAATACTCATGTTTACTTTTTATCCGAAAGCTTTTTGATCAAACGATCCGCAAAGAATGATAATTACACCAGGGCATTAAGTCTCACCTCCCTGATTACACAGTAAAAATATCGAGGCCAGGTATTAGTTCTGATGAAACAATGCTAAACCTGTTTGCACTGCAGAACCCCTTGTTTCTATAACAAGCGACAGGTATCGGTTTTGTTGAAACAATACGACGGCCTGTTTGCACTGGATGATGCCCTGGGGTTCATTAAAAACATTTGCACAGCACCGATAAATGTCAGCTAAGCCGTATCAGGTAGATACCGATCTCCGCGTGACTATTTGATGTGGATCAACCCGCGTGGATATCACTTTATCGAGGACGGGTTACGATAAACAAGTCTCCGTCAGCGGTTCGTGTAAAGCCCACGTCTGTACAGAAGGCGTTACCGAAAAAAGAAAACTGTCGAAGCATTACCCCGCGACATAAATGTACCCCTCTGTCCCTCCCGTTTCGCGACGGAGTACATTTCCCCAATCACCATTAACATGAATTACAGACACGCGTGATTCTGGCCCTCGAGAGAGCGATATTGACCGAGACAGATAGGAAAGAAAAACTATCAAGCTCCTACAATTCACCTAATTAAAATTAAGCTCTCAATTCCCTCAGGGACATTTTGACGGTGGCTGTAAGAATTGTTTTAAAACTCGGTTATATCATATAATTTCATAGGGCTATTGCGGTTAACTACTCCACGCCGATGGCGTCACGGAATCTGAAGGACCTACTCCGGAAGGTTCATTCTCCAGATAAGTATGTGCTAAATTGCAATCCATGCTGGCATGAACGATGATGTGGTATTGCAGATTGTCCGCCACAGTAAAAACAGGGATAAGGGAAGAGAAAGAACAGAAATACAGAAATAAAGGAGAAGAGCAGAACCACGACCCGGCATGGCGACTACTTCGTTACCACATTAAGTGGATTTCATCTTCCGTGCCTGGTTCTGAGGGGCGCGTGTACCCTTTTACATCTCTCAAGTTCCAAGCGCTATGGGCGTAGAAAAGGGTTAATAACTCATCCAGTGGGCTTTCCCTTTTGCGGATAACGAATTCCCCCTGCTTTCCGCATCACTCCGACAATATCGCCTGACTAAGAACATTCTTTTTCTCATTAGGTTGTCTCTCTAGAGAGGCATTGCGCAACATATGGACAGCGACGAAACGGGTTCAGATAGGTGACATTTATAGAAAAAAGAATTTCGCAATAGTATTCTTGATTTGTTTATAGAGGACACACAAAACGAGGGTTCAAGAATAGAATCCCATTTTTAACCATCGACAAAAATTGAACAAAATCAAACAAATGCTGTCAAAGCTTTGCGTTACGAAACATAGGAGTGCATCGATTTAACATATTGATCAGATTCCTTTTCAATTTGTAACACTGCGACATCATATATTTCTAGCTGATGCTTCTTAAGTAACATTCGCCTCGGGCTGTGATGATCAATATATACAGTGGAAAGCATAGCTGTACTTGCTGCAACATAATGAGAGTCTGCCTAGTCAAAGAATGGATAACAATTGATTGAAAGTAAATCCTTAACAGAAAAAGTCGGAAACTTGTCCTAAAAACTTTAAGGTTTTATACAACCCACGATATTTTGTATTCGATTGCATTCGAGATATATGGAAACAGCTTTTTCGCTCACATTTTGGTTTTTATTCAGGGGAACTTATGACGGTGGCACTGTCCTCTCAATGTGTAAGGTGGAAATGCGCAAAACTACAATAACTTCATTTAAAAGTCAATTATTTGAAGAAAAGAAAGAATAGTCACTTCGTTCATCAAAAAGGAAGTTACAGGAATCAAAAATTGACATGATAGAGGCGGGGGGGGGGGCATATTACCAGAGACACGGCGTTGCTTACCTCTTTACTTTGATGACGATCGGAATGGGTTAATCCATTTGGAGTTAATGTTCCTTAGTAAAAGTTTAATAATTCAAAAATTCCAAGTATATTCCTTCTTCGTCTTTACAGAATACTTTGTCACTCTCCACTATCTTGCTCTTCCTTTCTTGCTTATCCTTTACTGTGATTCCAGATTGGAAAGTTAGAGGAATGTGTTTCGATGTTCCAATCTGCGCGACGATTTGAAAGCGACGTTCATCAAGTCTGGCTGTAAAACAAAATCACGAGCTGTACTTTACGTCCCTTCACACCTCCGCGGCGATGACAGATTTAAGCACAGACCGATGAGTACGTGATAACCAGAACGATCACCACCAAAGAATAGACACCTTGCAATTCATCAACAATTGATGAGCTAGCTTTCCAATGACAACCGCAGACGCCGGGACGCGAAGACACAAATGATTCCTCCTTGACGGAAAAGACCGCCCAGGATATGTTAACGGATCTCGAAAATGCAATCGCAATCATCAACACATCTACCCATCAAGTGAACCTCAATCGAATAGTCCTTCGAATTTGGATGACACCTTCAGGGTCAGGCGATCCACGTTTTTTAAATGTTTAATCAGACAGGGAAGTGGGGCTGATCCGGCCGTCCATTATTCCAGCATTAGCTCATCATCATCAAGGCTCCTGAGAGTGGGAAAGGCATAAACACCTCGTATTCTCCGACAGTGAGTTAATACGTTAATGGGAGGAGCGGGACAATCCCAGGTTGTTGACGATCAGTTGACATCGGATTTGCAGCGTAACGTGAAAAAGAAAGTCGGCGATGTTTATTCCCCGCTTACCCTAATCGTCACGACCGACGAGTTCTACTTTCCCTTGGTAGTTGTGCTCCTAAACTCGAGAAATTGATACCGACTAAAAAATTGTGGATATTAGGAAATGCTAAGCTTAGTTTTAGTGTTTACAAAATATATCCCGTAAGATAAGATGGACAGTTTCCTCCGCAGGGTCAACTGAGTTCGTACGAATTAACCAGACGTCGAGCTTTCCAAAAAAAATTGAAATTAACATCAATTATCAATCGAAATGTGTCATCTCGAACGCAGCAATTAACATAGTCAGTTGAGATAAATACGGGGCTTTCCCTTTATAAACTCCGGCGAAGTATTGGGGTCGATCTAGTCAGAATCCATAATTTACTCAGCTGCTTTCCAAGTTGTTGATATCATTCGTAATAGATAGAAAAATAATCATGTACTCTTCCGAAGTATGAGATTGCGAATGAGTCATTCCACTCAGATAAACATTTTGATCTGTGCAACTCCTTTCGTAGTGGTCCAAGTATATCCAATGCTCTCGGAGATGGATGACGAAGTTTGGCGTATGTGAGAGTCCGCCAAAAACTTCCGATCGCTTACACCGAAATCCGCCAGACGGTATCCCAGAACGACCCTCACCCAACGGTAGACCGAGTCGCAAATGAGCTGCGTCGCTTCCAAATGCTACGATTTCACCGATGCTGCAATCTCTCTCTCTCTCTCTCTCTCCTTGTCTCCTTCGGTCAGAAGGACGATTCCATTAATTCTCCGCACAGGGTTTAATGTTCACGCCCTAATCGATGCACGCTCTACGAGTTGATAGTTAAGAATTTCAGCATGCAGCTCGCATGAATGATATGCCAACACAAATGCCCCGTGTCGAATGGCGCTTCTTCACGTTTTAAAAAATCACTTTCGTCAATCTGTATAATGCTCTTTCAGGGTGAATGACTACCTACTTTCCACTGATGGCGTCGCGTTTCCCTCTTTTCGGTCCTCCGTACCTCTGCTGTCGAATCTAGCGACGAAAAAACGATAGAAAAAAAAAGCATTTTACAAATTTTGCAAATCCCGATTGGTAGGCAAAGTAGGCTCCAGGTTCCATCCATCATGCATGCATAGTATTATAGATTTCCATCGGGAAAAGAGAAAAGTACGGTGATATACCTTAAGATCGAGGAAACAGATATCAATTTGATGATGAAAGGTACATTTGCATTTGCAATGAATAAAGTGATATCCAGGAATGTCCCATATGACGGTCTGTTTACGATTTAGTTCTTTTACAGCAGCTGTCGTTTACCCACGTTAGCTTCAAAACAATAAGTTCAAGCATGACGTTTAGAAAGGGGACAAAATAATTATGTACATTTATGAAAATTCATCAACAAAACATAAAGAGGCTTCTAGGTTTCGAGTGAGGTTTCGAGTGTAACCATGGCGGTGTAATACAAGGGGGAGTTTACTAATATTGATTTAAATGTTTGCATATTTCCATAGAACTGTGTAGATTGTTGGTATATCATTGTTGTTTTACATTTCCCATGAAACCTATTTAGATGGAGCAGGTGAATGCAAATTGTAAACGCAGAGAAAGGGAAAGAGAGAGGCACACACACACACACACACACACAGAGACAGCCAGATAGACATTAGTTGTGGATGAATATAGTTTGTGGAAGTGGAGAAGAGATACACCAACAAAAGTGGGTTGAACCCTATACTATTTCAAATTCTACTAAATCCTTGGATAGGGTAGACATGCAGATAAACGGTTACCTATCTTACGTAATAATCTGCTTCAATAGGGCATGGGCATGAATAATGCAATACTGCACAATGCCCAGGTCCTCAATCATGTTGACATACTGGACTTTAAACTGTTTGACAAGTCACTGTTTAACAGACGATAACATATCTCTTGGACAAAATAGATAACGAGCCCCATAATTATACTCCGTATAATATTGACCCCTTTGGGGGGAATCTATTTGAACTAAGTGTTGCTGCCAAAGACTTAAAGACCAATGACGATTTAATCAAATTAGCCATTAAGATGGCAGTTTTAATGGTTGATAATAAAAGTTTGATCTGAATTGGTTAATCGTTGAAGAGTTGGACAATACCGAAACTGATGCAACCTCGAGGGAGAAACTGACTCTTCTCTTCTCCCAAACTCTTCGTCGTTTATCCATTAACCAATCAAATTATTCGTTGTACGTAGAAAACGAATCTTGCATTTCTCCCAGCCCTGTCATCCACCCCGAGCAGCCGGCTACATAACCACTGGCCTTTTGGGAGATCACGGCTCCAACCCCACGAATTCAAACCTTCTTTTCCTTCCGACCCACTTAAAATCAAGAGTTCCTTTTAAAGACGAGCTGAAATACAAGGACCCGCTTCCTGATAAGAAACCGTTATTATGAGGAAATCTGTAGGACTGGTGGGCGGTGGGAACAGTTCGGCTAAATGCAATCGGGCAACTACACAACAGTCTGAGTTTCGCTGGATCGTGTCAGCGCATACCGAAGGTCTCATTTTAAGACTCACTTAAAACCCAAGTGCATGTCCTCAAACATTGTTGAAATGCAAAGACAGGCTTCCTGATAGGCAACCTATTTCTAGGTAAAGATGGCGTGGGTGTTTGTTGTCGTTATCATACGAATGTTGCTTCTGTGTCAGTTACACCTGCAAAACCAACACCAGACCGAAAACAGTCCCCCCAAAATACATAGTCAATTAGTTCGGAGTCCGTTTGGTTTCGGTTTCCCCGTGAGGCTTATGTATTATAACTCAGTCCAACCATCGAGATCGAAACCAGGCCGACAACCGACCGTACAAACAGTTCACCTTCCAGAATTGCCAAGGATCTGTCCTTGTGGAGACGATTAGGAGTTGACCAGGCGGTGTGGCTGGGGATAAGCGAGAATCATCATGCTCCTCTTCGTTTAGACCCTCTTCAAATTCAAAAGGTTTCTGTTAGGACATGCTTAAGTCAAGTTTGAAGACAAGGACATTCATTTCTGACGAACTGCCTGTTGATTTCTCTGGAATACGTTATCTGTAAGGAATGGGTCAGCACGTTCTTCCGAAGTTTGATTAAAATCTCCTCTCAAGGAAAGGCCAGAGAATGAAATCGAAGAGGACGGGCTGTCCACAGTTATTAACGTTCTGCCGAAATCGGGAGGTACAATCTTGTTTAATTTGGACAAGTGGGAAACGACAATTCTGTTTTATTTGGGCATTTTGTTTTACTCCTGCTCTATAGATCTCAATCTTCATGTTTGTCTCATGGTCTACACGACTTGTTTTTATATATTTCTTCTCGTCTCTGCTTTTCTTCGAATCTGTTTTGCTCTTCCTCAGCTAATCTCAAGTAGGCCGTAAAAAGCTCTGTATTGTCAATAGCAGTAACAGCCTTCCTGTAGGAAGCCGATGTCTAATCGTAAATTAACCCACTGCTTACTCGAACCTGATGCGTTCTATATCAACACCTCGTTTGCCACTCGTGTTTTTCTGCACAAAAGAATACGCACTCATTAACGGAAGGATTGCTTGATGCAATGAATTTGCTAAATTCCCATTTTTGGTATTATTTGACAATGTTCATGAAACCCTTATGACACCAGCATAGGTAAACCTTGAAGCATTTGGCATTACTTAAATTTTGTTTTGCATATTATAAAGGGTGGGATTTTTCGGTGGCATTTAAAGAGTTAAACCTACGGGGAATACAAAATGGAATTCAATAGTCAACGGTTAATAAAGGGCGTGCCTGTCTGTGCTCCAATTCTGTCGGACATTTGATAATATCGGAGTCAAAACAAACTCAAATTCTTCTTCTGAACTAATCCTCAGTTCTGGCGATGGGATTAAATTTCAAACCAAAGTGGCTTAACTTAAGTCAGAAATGTTTATTGTCCATGACATTGGTCGTTTCCACCAGCAAAATTTAATCAGAATCCGAGGCATATCGTGAGTCTGTCGCAGATAATGAAATATTAACACCATTCAAGAGGGGGCGGGGAGGGGGGGGGGGGGGGGGGGACATTCATCATCGGAAAATGAAATGGGACTTTCCAAGGCCACTGAAGAGGGGAGGGTGCCGGAGGTGGTCATATCGTTTCTCTTCTGGTCCTTTCCCCCTTCTGTTTTCCTATTCTTATCTCTTTTTTTCGTAATAAGATTCAATGTATTAGCTTCCATAACCGTATGTATAACGTAGATTACGCGATAATTGTAATATGACAACATTTTCATGAATCTTTCCACTTATCTTCTACAATAACATCTATCCATCTATACTTCGACGAATCATTACCCTTTCATTTCTCTATAACTTCACATGAATTCCCCATGCAGATAGCGATGAAAGTACACTGTTGTTCTACTAGCTTACTTCTGGATTTCAAACACTGTTAAAATATTAGTTAGGCATGGCCGATGATGAACATGTACTGTCTAACATTATTTAAAACTCCTGTCTAAGACAATCATGAGTGATACCATTAGACAAAGATCAGACGATTACAGAGACACATCTTCCCCAATCTCTCCCATTCGACTTCCATATCTATCTTCTTCTTTTTTGGCATGCAGATGACGTAGGTAACATTAATCGCGCCATATCCAACGATGCAAAGCAAATCTTGTCACGTGATCCAACTTCCAGGTACTACTGAAAACGCCAATAAATAAACAGTACAGCTTGGATTATCGTTTGACAGCGAGTGTTTAAAGCATAAAAACGCGGCGTTGGGTTACAGATGTGCACTGACATTCGAAGCATATTGTGATAGTTGACGCCACACATAAGAAGACATAATGAGGGATGATACATTTGCTTTCCTTTACCATTTTACATGGGGAGGGGAGGGGTGGATCATATTAAAAAAGATAAGAAGAAAATGCTTAAATCCAAAATAATTGTTTAAATGGTCGGCGAGAGTAAGAAGAATAAGAATGAGGAATGGAGAAGAAGAAAGAAGAAGACAACGAGATAAAAGAAGAAGCAGGTGAAGTAGAAAGATATAGACAATTACAAAATACTCTTATTATTTTAAGGAGAATGTTTATAGAATTGAAAGGGTTGTAACGTTTCAAATTTGGCAAAAATGCTTTACAATTTATTACAAACAAAAATGAATTTGCGGAGACACGCGTGACCTCAACCCCTTCGTTGCGACGTTCCCCATTTCAACCCAATATTTTAACAAGTATAATGGCCTAATTGACCTTATTTGTGTCTCACGGCAAGATTAAACGCAAGAACCGCTCATTATAGTAGACTGATATCATAACAAAGAAAATGTTTTTGCACGGCTTATCTTTATATCGGTCTCTTCTGATGTTGAATTAACATTGTTTAGGTTTTTAGGAAAACTCCTGGATTTCCATAAACCTCATTACAATGATTTACGTTGTAATCGTAAACAGTGTAAACGACCTGGAAGTTTAGGAACTTCGTCAACTTCCAAAGCACTTTTTGTTTAAAATCCAAACATCTTTCCACACCCATTCGTAGGCCTATAAGCAGGGAGGGGGGGGGGGACTGAATTTAGACAAGGATTAAGAGTCGAGAACGGCACAACGAATCGTCTTCTTTCTCTAATGATTAAATAAAACATAAAAGCTTGGGGGAAACTGAATAAACTTTGAATTGAATTGAATTGAATATACAAAACACACACCACACACATTCAAATATAGCATATCAAATGCATTATGCCAGTCATGTACTAAAAAACCTCACGAGTTCCATAAGCAACAACCCTTCTTTGTGACAATGATCAAAAGTGGATTTAAAAGTACATGCTAACATTGCTAAAATCCTTTGAAGTGTTATGGCTGAAATTGCTGAGCAAAGAAAAGGAAGCCAGTATTAAACAAACATAAAATTGCTGACAAACAAGTCGTAAAATATATATGCCATTCTACGTCAGCCCAGACGAGCACGGCAGACGCCGCAAGCTATATGCACCATGTTGTCTATGTGGTATGCTTAAAATATGTAGTTGACATGACACTTAATCCCGAGCCCGAACCAATTTCATTTCCATGAATATAAAAACATTAATTACAACTATAAAGAGGAATACCGCGAAGAACTGATTTCTGGCAAAGCGAAATAAAGATGATTTGAAAATTTTAGACACTGTCTGCCGTTCATCCAGAAAACCATTCGGCACTCGATGAAATGCAAGTCCCGCTGCGCTAAGCACATTGAAACATCATGGTTTATTC